AGACCTCGTATTTTAGAAAACTGCTTAAGTGTATAAATTTAATGGAATAGGATGACTTCGTATGCCTATCTGTCAAAGCCTCTTTTCTTAGGAACGTGTACAAGTATCAAATTGAAATTAATATCAAATACTCAGGTCTAGCATCCCTTTAGCACTAGCAAGGGGATCAAAACCTATAGCGTTCTTCCCATTTACCCGTAATCACAACATTTGACAAGAAGCAACGTCTTATAGAAAGGCAAAAAATCTGAAACCGTAAATTAGGTTCATCACAAAAAAATAAGTTTTTAATTGTAATAATGTATTGTACGTTTTGGAGACTGATCTTGGGATAAAACTTCAAACATGTTCTGAAAAAGCGGGAAAAATCTTCGAAACTCCGGTCCCGTACCGGACGCATTATTTACGTACATGCCTACAAGTTTGTACGAAATTCTCGTTGCGAGAGTCCGACTTGTGTCGGCTGTATTTCTAAACTAAGGAACTCAATTACTTTTATTATACCAGATGTGGTTTTCCAACGTTTAGTACTTTTGTAATAAAATTTTATGTTAGTTATAAAAAAGAAACAATAGAGCAAAAACAGGGGCTTCTTTTAGAGAAACCAATTTATATTTTTACCGTTCTTTTAACGGCAATAAATGGTCAATATGTAAGTATTTACAATAATGGCTCTCTTAAGTATCCACAATTCTTGATTTTATTTTTATTTGTTATTTTATGTCTTCTGAAGGGGCGTTTTCTGAAACCATAACCTGTCCTTCAGGAGGTGCATAACAAAAAGAAAAATAAAGTAGTAACAATTGAGTAAACAAATTAAGAAGAAAAGATTTTGTACACGCTAATATTATTTAATTTTTTCTTCCGTACCATTTCCTGAAAAATCCTACAAAGTGTATCAGTTAAAATGTAAATAGGGCTGCTTTGTTTTGCCGTAAACACTTCTGATGATTTGATATTAAACTGTCTTTTAATTATTTTTTTAATAATTTGTATTAAACTGTTTTTTGTTTAGTGTCTATTATACAAATTCCTTCTTTATTATTGTCAAAAGAAATCATTAAGCAGATGAAAGTACCTAACACGAATTTCCAAATTTTGTTTTATTTATTTCAGTTCCAGAGAACTCCATTTAATTTTCATTTAATAGAACAAGAGTAAAAGATCACACCGTTCAAACCGGTACACGTATGATAAGAAAGGGGAAGTAGTACTGAAAGAGTTGGATGTGGTAGTGAGGGGTTAAGATGCATCTCTACAGGATGTAGTGGGAATGACGGAATGAACCGTTGGGCGAGTCGACAGTCGAGTGTGAACGAGTATACAGAAAGGGTGTTAGTCAGTCAAACTAAATTATGTTCAAATAATTTTATTATTTAAGGTATTTAGTAAGTACTGTTGTATATTTTGTCAGATCCGTATTCTGTTCGTTTTTGGTTTGTTTTACATAGCATGATTCTAAATTGTTAGTAATTTTCAGTTTGGGGCTTTTTTAGATCCTTATTAAACAAAAGGTACTTTTTTTCCTATTTGTTCTTCATATTTCAAATTTCATTCAAATAATTCTCATTTTAAATTAATGTTTTGGGATTTCAACCCTATTAGTGATAGTGGTAGCAAATACAGGATATCCTAAATATTTTAGGTCATTCATGTTTTTATGGAAACATTTAGTGGTTGTACTGCGTTTACTGGCGATATATCGCCTTAAGGGTTTTTCTTATCTTGATTGATGATCTTATATAGAAGAACTGACTATTTGGATTTTTTTGTTTTCGGGGATTAGGGGAAAACTTCAAAAGACATTCGCCTGCCAATGCGAAGGGTGCCTACCGACTAAAACTCCTCGTCCTCAAGCCATTCTAGCTTTAGGCACATGATTAATGCGTTATTTGATTTAAAATCTTTTGAACGACATGAGGGTCTGGGCTTTGCCCAGTAGTTGTATTTCCGTAGGTGTTGCAGCTCCTTTAAGTTGATAGGCTCGTTTCATTTTCTCTGTTATGGTGTTTAATAGGTTAGCGTTTTCTAGAATGTTGGTAGACACTTCCGTTGTTGTTTCGGATGGGTCGTGTTATCTTTATGAGGTGGTCTTGACGAATGACATGCTCTGCCTTTCTGCGTTTCTCGTTTCGTCGGTCGGTGTCGGGATTTTGGCGGGATGTGCACCGCTTCAATTTTTGCATGTACATATTTCTTCCTTAGGCTTTTTGCAGTTTTCTGTGTTGTGGAGTTGTGCGCACTTCATTCTTTTCGACACCATTTAGCAATGTCTATGCGTATAGTCTATTCTTTGACAGCGATGGAACTGAGATGGTCTTAGATTTCTATACTATGATGGATACGGGATTTTATTCGGTGTTTCGTGCGATTCCTTTTGTTTCAAAGCCTTTCGATACACTGCTGGTTGTTGTGGTCGGTATTCCCTTAATGACGCATTTGGCTGGACGGTTTGCGTCATTTGTAAAGATGTAAATCATTGTGTTCCTATTTCCGAGTAGCTTTTTTCCATTGCTGTGTGGTTGTGATCGTGGCTGAATTTTGATTCCGTCATTTTTGTGGGTTGCTCTAGGAAACTCGATGTTGTGATGTTTGGTTTTGGCTCGCCAGTAATTTCATCTTGTAGAACTTCGAAGCTATTCTTGGTCGGTATTGGATTTTCTGTTTTCTATGGTCTGGTTAATCCACAGCTGCTCTCGTCAACATCCCATGGATGGACAGCAAATAGCAGAGCGATAAAAAGATTGTTTGTGTGATTGCTTCTATATTCTACTGGAGACCGGTGGTTTTGTGTCTTGACTGCTTCGTTGCTCGTATGGAATTTGCAGAGGAAGGCAGGCTTATATATGGATTTTGTGAGGCACATTTTATGGGATGTCGTTTCCGTTTTATGACATAGACTGTGATCGATTGTCCGGTCCCACCAATGAAAATTAGGGTTCAAGAATAAGGTATGCTATAGATCCAAGCTAACGTTATCTTTTAATCTGAGAAAATGGAAGGAGAGTTTTGAAGTAGATTATAGATGGCCTGATGCTTTATTTTTTGAGTATATCATGAAACTGAAGATTCATTTGAACCATATCGTTAGCACATAATGCTTCTCTTCTTATTATAATGGTACATGGAAGCCCTATGAATGCAACTTATGCCTGCAAATGGCGAAACGCACCTTCATCTGTTCTCAACTTCCGGATTTAATCAGTTTAATTAGTGAAATAGATGCCTACATGTTCGTCAGTTACAAGGCAAGTTTTTCCAATGCTACAATATCAGTTGATTATTATTTTCCTTCTATTATTATTACGAACTGTCATGCAATTGTTCGCAATGTGGTCATTATAGTTGGAGTAAACTATTTTGTGGTTTTTATACAACTATAGAACCGAATGAGTCACCATAACTTTATGTATTTGCTGTTGCAGGAATCGTACCCTGCAATTTTACAATTGCAATACATTGCGTGTTATATTAATAGGTGCTTCATCTTTATGTGTTTGTTTGTCAACTACATAAGGAGATACAACAAGGACAGGATATAGAACTGCCGCAGATTATAGACACCAACTTAAAATGGCTTGGTCACATTTGCTGTGTGAAGTAAAATATTGATTAATTATTAAAGAAATTCGGGTAGTTATGTATAAATTAGCAGTTGGCAGTTGTGGACATTGTGGGGTTCAAGGACCTTTTGATGTGAAGATTCAGGTATGTTTCGATGTGGCATTCCAGAACTGGTATTTGAAGATGAGGAAACACCAAGCAACATAGTCTAAATATTTAGACTATTGCTTAGCATTTAACAGGACACCGGTTCCATTCCGGGTATGTCTACCCTGGTCCAAGTATTGTGTGGTTTCCTTGGATCACTCAAGCAGATGCCCGTTCCAACGATTCTAAATCTACCCAAAAAGGAGAGTGAAGAGGACCTTTTGCCCTACCCTTCGGCGCAGCCCTGTGAAACTCCCCGCCCACCAGCAGGAGAAAGAGAAAGAGAAATGTTGAAAGGAAGAAGCTTATTAGGTGATACGTACTTTTCCTTCATGAGACGTGAGGGGAATACGCTTCAATTTGTCTTTGGCATCAATCGAAATCATTTCCATTTTCGCTCACTGTAACTCTTTTGGATTTCAACTTCCTTCGAGATTGTGGACGTAAAAGGATTGTCCAAATTAGAAGGACATCATGTGACGATTGAATTGTAGACCAGTGGTTCTTCTAAAAAAGAAGTCATGCCCAATGTATGGAAGAGAATTATTATCGTCTTAGAGAAGCGGTGGTCTCATGCTGCGTAGAATTCTACCCTCTGAAGTAAATATATCATCATCACCATAAGGTCATCAGTCCTAATATTGATTGGAGACGCACCTCCACTTTTTCCCATTCTGAACGAATCTTCCCTGAAGCTAGAACATCCCAAATTCTTAACTAATTCTGAATAGTAATCTAATCTAAATCTTGTTTTTGATTCTAATATGTCACTAACTATAGCCCTATATGCCTGAGAAGGTGACCTATTAACTTATCTTGCCCATTTCTTGTTGACTGTCGTAGTGACCTCTGTTCTCCTATTCTTTCTAATAGGGATCTCCTCATTTTTAACCTTCTCTATCCACGGTATCCTCATCATTCGCTTGTAACCACATTTCGAATGCTTCAAGAAGGATATCACAAACGACCAGTAGACGCAACTGAAGAGACACCCAGATGGGTGCGTATTTATGTTATATTCCTGAAAGCCGGCCTATGGATCGTGCTTTTAAACAAATACTCTTAACTAATTTGCTCTGTTTTCATAATTAATACAATAAATTCCTGTTTTTATTTTGTTTTTGCGTGTTTATGTATTAAAAAATATTTATAGCATCCATAACCATGCGTCAGTAGATACAGTGCAGCGCAGTTCGGTCATGTCGTGTGTAAAACGACAATAATAACATAATGAAGGCAAACCGTCCACGTACAATAACTCATCGCGATCGTTCGTAGTCACACCTATAAAATACCTATGCGAGAGTCCGTCCGTTCGCGACTATAGGTTGCCGTGTGCCGTGCCGTGACCCCCTTCGTGCCCCGTAATCCCCTGCCGTTCCTAAAGTCTCACAAGGTAGCGGAGCAGTTCTACTGTACTGTCGGCCAAACTCTTCAGTGTACTTGGACACCGCGTTCAGGTTAACGAGTAAAAGTTAAAAGGCTCTGTCGCTCGTTCTGATTTTTCATTAAAACAATTTTTAAAGTGACCAAACGGCTCAATCTGAGCAGAGTTTCGTCATCGGTAAATACCCGAACGCGCGTGAATTCGTGTTTTCCAATGTGATGCGCGATAAGTTTGCGACGTTGCCACGCAGACTTTTGAAAATACGGCCGTGACAACAATAACCACGACAAGAAACAATCGCACGCGAGAAAATCGAATGTCGATTTGTAAATAATAGCGAAACGGGAAACGGTTATTGATCGCGGGGTGTTCGCTTTCCATGGCTTTTCGTAACAGAAATAGGACTCTGTGCGAGATGTTGATGATGATGTGCTTGTGATTGTTTTGCTGGTGCAGGTGAAAGGTGTGTTTGCACAGTGTCGTGGGTGTAGTGGAAAATGAACGTGGTGATGGGATATTATGGCGATTAACAGGCCGTTGTACTCCGTATGCGTGGCAATTTTGGGATTCGTTTGTTTTGTTATTGGTGCCACAGCGGTCGGACTTCCAGTCTGGGGTTACTTTGATGACAGTCCCAGCGACAGGACTTACGGTAAGACAGGAAACGAACAGGTGCTTCGCACCTGCCACCGGGCGTCGGATTCCTGCGCGCGTGTTGTTATTATTATTGTTAGGACTAGAACGCGCGTAATACACATAACAACAGGCGGGAATCCCGGAAATTGAAATCATTCGTAACGGTATTCTTAACTGTTTCGTAGACGAAAACAAAAAGAACACTTCATGTTTTTCTCTTTCGTCTATCTAATGATGAGAACGAGCATGGATAATGCTTTTGTTCTTCTTTAATGCCTACATAGTAAGCACTGTACGTATACAAGTCTTGTACACCTACCTAATGACAAAAAGCGGTCGCAGCAAGAAATGCGATGGTAGAAAATACTTGGAAATGCCTGACTACTTGTCTACGAAATCTTACGTAATAAATTTATGCAGAACAGGTTTTGCGCGAACATAAGAAGCTGTTGCAACTGTTAATTGCCGATGCTTAAAGAGATAGAATATATCCATAGGCATTTACATAGATAGATACCTACCTGTTGATGGATTTTCCACGTTTTTGGAAGATAACTGCCAAATAAGCTCACACAGTCACAGAAATAGAATACGCATGTTGCAATAGTGACCATTTCAAATAGTAATGCATTTTCAACCATAATAGTTTTCTTCTAATTTCTAATCATTTCGATTAGTATTTCATAAAAATACCCATGTACATTTAAGTTACTCATTGCCAAATAGACGACATTGAATCGATTACCTATCTGACAATAACAATAATGAGTTTTTAATTAGAAAAGTTTAATTAGGTAATGAACTAGGTATTGGTGCACATGCTTTCTCATAATACGAAAATAGCCATACAATCTATTTAACCAAATATTCATACTTACCTATACCTGCAACGATTCCAAAGCAGCAACATGTCTACAAGAAAATCAAATGGAGTTCTGTGGAGTTGAATTTCCAGTAACTTACTAGGTAGCGCCAATGTTGAAATAATAGAAAAAAGATTCGGACTGAATTTTGCTGACTAGGGGTACGTTCTAATGAGTTGCTTCGCAACATTCGTTATCACCAAAAACAATTGGCGCAATAATATAAATTTTTTCAAAAAGAAACCATTTTTGGTTAGGCTGGGCTGGGCTACGTTACGGAAGGTTAGGTTATGCTATGAAAAATATCACATTGAATATTGAAGACGTATCACCTTTCCTTCATCATTATTTCTTTAAATCTGTCGTGATTTTTTGGGGGTTTTTGTATAAAATTTTAAACTGATTCTTTTTATGGAAAGAATTTCATCTACCTACATAGTTCAATTAAGCGAAAGTTTAATTTTCATACTATAAGGCATGAAATAATAATTTTACCAAAACCCCTTCAAGGATAAATCCTAAACACGCCCCTGGTATAAACATCTGTTACATTATAAGACCATTACAATATTATACCTACATTTTTTCAGAGGTAGGTAGGTATTGTATAAAGTGTTAACTTTCTAATCTAATTCGAATGCCAGCACTGAATGAAAAGGTCGCGTACGGCCTTTTACAGATTATTTCTGGTATTGTTTTATTTATTATTTATTTCCTATGACGATTGCATTGACATATTTGTCGATTTGTGTTAGTAGGTTGAATATGTGCATCATCGGAAAATTGCAAAAACTTATTATTTATGCAAAGAATATGCTGACAAATTAGTATACAAATTCACAGTATTCTACTTGGGATCCAGTTATTTGACCTTTTTTACACATTTCTATGAAAGTTTATCAATGAGTAATGACGACTAATAAAAGTCGATTTTGAGAATAAAACATGGTACGTACTTACTATGATCATCAGATCGAATTGAGCATAAAACTTTCTTAACTCAGTATTCTTACGTCCAAATGTTTCATTTGAAAGAGGAAAGTATTTTTATTAGAATTATGTCCAAAATTTGTAAATACGCGTATTATAAGCTATCATCCAGTCTAGGTTAAGTACCCTCTTTGTATAAAGGCTTATCTAAACGCCAAACCGGCACAGTGTATCAGGACTCTTGGAGGTCTTCCTTATGTCAGACGGATTGGTCCTAGGAAGTCATCAAACTTGCCTGAGAACTCCACAGATTCGGGCTTTAGGTTTGGTAATTGTACCCTAACCCAGCATGCGAGCTATTAACCAATTGTACCCTTGAATCCGATGCCGATTGATGAGGGAGGAGCCGAAACTACAGTCCTGTCCCTCCCGCTCTGCAAGTACCGGTATAGATGTTTCGGTGGCCATCAGCTACTGTGGAGCAACCCTTATTTCCTTTCTTACTAAGCCCGAGCAACTATGCTTTCATCTGAAAAAAAGGTGTTTCAAACCAATTCTGGTGGGTGAGTAGTTTGTCCGGGTTACATCGGAGGGTGCTGTGAGAATGGGCGGTTAGGGTGAGATTGGTGAGACAAACAAAATGAAGACAAGTGAAAGATAACCTCTGGAATATTATTACTGCCCCAGAATTTGCTTAAGTGATCCAAGGAAACCACAGAAGGACTATGATAGATGAACCTGGAATCGAACCAGTGTCATCACTACATAGTATAAAACAAAGTCGCTTTCCCGCTGTCTGTCCCTATGTATGCTTAAATCTTTAAAAATACGCAACCGATTTTGATGCGGTTTTTTTTTAAAGATAGAGTAATTCAAGAGGAAGGTTTATATGTATAATACATGCATAATATAGTAGGGAAACACTGATAATTTTAGAGGTTTCTAATGTGATGTCGTAAATAAATACATTTTTTGCGCTTACATTGCAAACGCTGGCTGAACTCTACGAGATAGATCAAAATAATGTACTACAATATTGTACATCTTAAAAGGGTCTACAAAAAAGTCCGCGATGGTATATGTCTATCTCTTAGGGATAACCCACAATAACTATTTTTATCCTTTACTTTTTATGAGAAATAATAACTTATTTACGAAGCGATTGTAGGCAATACAGTCTTAATTCTTATCCAATTAAGTACCTTAAATACATTGTGCATTTAATATAGATCAATATGGCCCTATACAACATGTAATTTAAATGAATATTTTCGAAGATATTACAGATTTAAAATGTAGGGACATAGCGGTTGCGGCGGTACCGGCCGGGAAGTCGGTTTGTATTGTCTAATGACAAAAAAACTGTGAATGTTGTATATAAAGACATTCTGTAGTATATTTAGTATGTTCAGGGGGTATCTTTTGAAGATTTCCCCTTTTCGATAATAATCTAAACAAAACAAAAATATATTTAGTATCAGCATTGCACCCGTGCGAAGCTGGGG